ATTTTAGAATTATACCATTCACTCAGGAAAATCTCAAAGCATATAGAAAAGGTTTAACAAGTAAATTAACAGAATTTGCAGTAAAAAAAAAAATTGTAAAATCTCATCAAAATTATAGCTCAATTAGAATTATCTCTATTAGTCTATGTCACATGCCTTAATCTTTAAAGTTTTAGTACAGTATAAAATAGAAGTTTACAAAATTATTTTTTAGTAGACAGCAGTGGGGTTGTGAAAGGGGAAACTTCCTTTAGGTGATTGGTCAGGCGGTTAATTAAATTATAGTCAATCTTTACAGTATATTACGTTTTTAAATGAATAAAGAGGAGGCCTCACTTGTCGTTTAAAATGAGATAAAAGTTTACAAATCAAACATGTGACAGCAATTATAGCGTTAATTAGATTGCCTTGTTGACTAATAAAATGTGTTTAACAAAGTTGTTTAAAAAATGAACGTTTTCGGTTAAATGTTAATAGTTAAAATTTTAATAGATCTAAGATTTAAATATAATAATAATTTTTATTAATATAAGAAATCTAAATAATGTTATTTTATTATACAATTCTCATATAAGTATTATATATCTCACACATTTAATTAGGTAAAAAAAAGACTTTAAATGGAAATCCGATAGATAAGTTATCAATATTTTTTTTTTTTTATTATCCTTTTTCAATCTAATTAATAAATATTCAAAGTCAACCTAGATAAATTTATACTTTAAAGCAAGTCAAATAATTGATTTCTGCATAATATTGAATTTTAATTTCTGCATATATTATAGAATTACACAGAAACAAACCCTTACAGTCTCTTTATATCATTATTATTATTAATTATACATTAAAAGAGTTTTTATTGGAATTTGAAAAAAAACGATACTTTCTTTAAGATTACATATCAAAATAATAAAGTAATCAATTAAATGTCTAACCCATTTAGATTTGAATGAAGGTATTTATTTTATATTTTTACATCACTTCTTTCGTAAAAAATTTTCATTCTCAATTGCCCATGCAGTTACCTTAACAAATTTATAACAAATTGAAAAAACTAATAATAATAATTATAATAAATTAATATATATATTTATTTTGGCAAAATCATGATCGTTCACTTATGCAGTACATACGCGCGTTACATAATTACATATACATACACCAAATACACCCCCCAAATGCATATACACGAATAGGATAAACACAAAGAAAACGAGAAAGAAGAAGGTTTTTTTATCATGTGTGGTAAAAAAATGAGATTTTGAAAAATCAAGATATTATTGGATGATATTATTGTTACAGAAGGGATATTGTTAAGTTATTGTTTTATTGTACAAAATTGTAATTATAGAAAATTTTTTTGATATCAGTCAATAATAATAATAAAAATAGGCAAAAAGATGACCGAGGAATTTTAATTTCAATTCTAAATTATTATTATTATTATTATAGCTATTATTTATGGATATGGTTATGCAGGAAACAAATTAATGATGTAATGTTCATTTAAAAAAAAAAATTTGTTGTAGTTATGTACAAATATGTGTGGTTGACTCATTCATTCATTCATTACCGCTAATTTTGTTTTGTCAGTTTTATATTTTAAGATAACTTATTTATTATATTATTTTATTTTGGTGAAATTTTCGGTTTTCGTTGAATTATTCCGTATAATTTTATTATTCAATTCATTAATTTCACTCGAATTTGGTTTATAACATCAATAATCTCTGTCACATTTATCATATCTCTACTATCTATATCTATATTCTTTCCTTCTTTCCTTCTTTCCTTCTTTCCTTCTTTTTTTTCCATTTTTTCTTTTTTACAACTTTTTTTTTTTCTTTTATTAATGTATAATTCATATGATACATGAACATGATAACATAACAACTGATAATAATAAATTTATCTTTAAACCAATTATCAAATATTTAATTATTTGATTTATTTAATTAATTTAATTAATTAATTTTAAATTATTTATTTATTTAATTCAAATATTTATAAAAGATTTATCAAATATTTATTTTTATTTTTAATTAAAAATTTAATTTAAAAAATTTCGATCCAGGAATTTTTTATTTCTTTTTTATATGTTGAAACATGAGATAAAATAAATAATCAACATCCATCTAGATTTGATACGATTGTTTTTATTATTGTTATGATTACGTGATTACATGTTTGATATGATTGATATGATTGATGATATCTATTTATAATGATATATGTATATAAAATGTAGTGAATAAAGTTAATGGGAAAATGGGTACTAAATTAAAAATGGCAAATCACCAATGTTATTTATTGAAATTAACTTTGTACTTTGTATTGTTGTTCAATAAAATGTCAACATTTGATCAAGCCACCACTGCCACACGTGTGTGAGGAAAACAATCAAAATCACGATCTGCTCAAAGTTACGATAACGAGATAAATTTTTATTTGAATTTTTACTACTTGAATTCTCTTTGTGTATCAATTATTGATTAACAAGTTTTAAACATGTTTAAAAGTTTTAAACTTAATAAAAAAATCTTTACAATCGAAAATACAAGTGTTAACTCAAACGTTACATAATAATAGTTATATTTTTCGCTTTTAACAGATTCATTATATAATTGTTCATCATTCATTTTGTTATCAAAAATCAAATTATTTCATTATTTCATTTGGTTCTGTAAATTGGTTCATTTGATTCTCTATAGAAACAATAAATAAATATTTTTATTTGGATTATTGTCATCACTTTTTGTTTAACAAAATAATTCGGTACGTAAAGAATAAATAATCTTTTGAAGTATATAAAAGAGTAATTTAAATTATGACGACATAATTCTTCATGTGTTCTAACACATGATCCATTATTTCGCAATATTGTTGAAAAGGTGATATCTAATTTACCATTTACCATTTATTAATTCATCATTTTTGTTTAAAAAAAACGTAAAAAGAATATGAATTGAAAGATTAATTTGCCGCTTTGACATAAATTTTTTCATGTGCTCTAACACATGAATAAATTATTTCGCAAAAAATATCTAATCAGACTAAAAGTATCGGCCCAGATTATTAAATCGTAGATCCTTTAATTTCCCCTTAACCCAACCCTAATTTGGGCCGGTTTATACAATTTATCAAAGAGAACAAACAAAAAAACTTGCATTGTTGTTTTAGATCAAAATTTTTTTTTTTTTTTGAATAATTTAGGTAAAGAAAAAAGAATTTTAAATGAATGTAATTTAAAATCATCATTGTATATGATGCTCAAATGACGTCTCATTATGTCAGTAAAAAATTCTATAAGAATTAAATATAATCGTAATTAATTTATCATTTACTAATTTATTTTAACTACAGTAACAATTTCAATGCAATGAAGTAAAAAAGAATAAAAACCAACATATATTAATAATATATATTAATCAATTCTAAAAACGATCCTTAATAATCGTTATCGCTTTAAATGTTGACCTCACACGTTTGGAATACATTCGGCGCACGTTCCTAACTTTTAAGTTTCAATGTAATCATAATAATCGAGATCCGATTAAGATCATGTGATAATAGTTAAAGTCTGTAAGTATTGTATTATGTTATTATTAGTATTGTATTATGTATTATGTATATGTATATTATTAGTTAATTATTAAAGCTTAAAACTTCAAATTTAATGTACAAGGATTGTGAGAAGGTTTGAAAAGTAGGATCGAAAAGAAGGATTGAAAAGAAAATTACTTAAAAATAAATAAACAATTCAATTGAAAAATTATAAAAATGTCTAAGAATCAACATGAACGTAGAAATGAAAAATTAAATTTATTAAGGATGGTTGCCATTAATACAATTAATAAATTCGATACTTACGATACTCGCGATACTGAAATTTATTCTTCAAAAGAAGAAACACATAGTAATTATAACAATTACATAATAGCAAAATTTTCGGAAATAAATAACAATAATAATAATCATAATTATAACGAATCTTCGAATATTCAAATTCGAAAAAATTTCGATATTATCAATTCACTTATTATGATCTTTTCAATTTTAATTGGTTTATTATTATTTTTTACCATGATAATTTCGAGTTTTTATTATATTCGTATTCGAAACAAAAAGAAAGAACGTAAAATAAAAGTACGAAGTCGGAGAACACAAACCGATCCTTACTCTCGTCACGTAGAATCGTCATCATCACCATCACTACCATCACTTCCGTCACTCTTTTAACAGAATCTCAGAGAAATAAAGAAATAAAATAACATAAAATAACAATAAATACAACAAAATTCTATTTCTCACTTCATAATACAAATATTTATTTTTTCATTATCTTAATATGCTTTTATTTTATTTTAATAATCATTTTAATAAATCTTCCAAAAAAAAAAAAAAAAAAAAGGAAAATCAAATATTAAAGAATACTATATGAAAGATATTAATAGTAAAGAAGACAATAAATTATCAAGTTAACTAATTAATTAATTAATTCAATCAACAGAACTAAATAAAATTCATTACCTAAATTCATCAATTAGTCAATTCATAAGTTTTCCTAAATTTAAATCTATTAATTAATTCATTCCATAATAATTTCCTTTCATTCGTTAATCGAACATCAAAGATTGAAGAATTTTCTTGAGCTCTTCTTATTAAAAATGGGATTACTTCATTAATCTTTATTAAATTGATTAAATCAATTAATTAAAATAATTAAAAATAAGAATTAATCTCACCCCCCACAATCACCCCACACTCAATCCACACATACCTTCCCATACGCTATATATTTATATACAGGATATCCGTAACTTGCAAGTGTATAAGTAATATGATCACTCATTCCTAATATAATAATTATTAAATTAATCTCGATCAAACAATATAGAAGTATATAATATAGAATATATAATTACCATATAATTGACCAAAATTCACAATTCCCGAATTTGCATCAATTCCAAATTGTTTCATTTTATTACATGCCAAAATTACTGATTCTTGATTGTGTGAAGCAATAAAAAATGTCAATATGTTATTATTATTATTATTCTGATTCGAATCTTCTTTTCTTTTTTTATATAATTCATTTAATAAAAATTCTACCGCTTCATTATAAGATTTATGAGTATCTTCGATATTATCATGTATGGGACTAGGATATCCGTATTTTTGGGCCATCAATCTTTCTCCCACCATGTAAGCTCCTCGAACAAGTTTGGCGGCGAATACAAAATTCTCTCTTCTCGATAATTCAAAATCTCTCTTTAATCTTGTGAATGAATCTTTAAGATACATTTGATATGTGTTGAATACAATTGCATCTCTTTTTCCACCTCCGCCACCTTCATCTCTTTCATCTCGTTTTCTTTCTTCCCTATCGTGATGATTTGATTTGTTAAATTTTGAAGCCAATTTAATGGATATTAAATCAATTGCTGGTTGAAAATAAGTTTGTTCTGCGTCAATCAATATTTTTACATTACGTTCACGAGCTAATTCACAAATTTTTTCTAATCGATTCATTAAATCTTCAAAATCTTTAATATCATCTTGACTCAACTTTGGATGATTATTATTATTATTATTATTATTACTCAACAACAATTGAGTAATATCTGATTTATCTAATGATAACATCTTCATGAATTCTATTTTATCAATTGATAACCTTTCTCCTTCTCCTTCTCCTTCTTGATCAAATTTGTTATTAAGAAAATTATCAATGACATTATTATTACTCTTCTTCTTCTCATCATTTTCACCAATGATACTAATCAAAAAATTCCGAAATTCCAATTTTTCTAATTTCCCTTTATAATTAATGCTAAATTGATTAAATGATTTATCTAAAGAATTTAAAATCGAAGTTAAATTTTGTAAAATTTTTGGATTGATGAGCCCGGTAATTTTAATTGCGATAAGATTATCAGGATAAGTTGATGCGGGTTTAAGACATCTTAAGTACATGTCAGTAATAAGGTCAGCATTTTTATTATATTTAATACGAAGAGATTCTTTATCTTCTGATGAAGAAGAAGAAGAAGAAGAAGAAGATCCTTCATCAGGCAAATCAGATTCAACTGATAAACCAAGAATTGACTTGATGCCATATTCATTTAATCGATTCATTACGTCAATTAATTGTTCATCAGTTTCACCTCTATAAGAAAAATAGATATATTAGAAATATCAAATATAAATATACTCTAATATATTCTAATATATATCCCTTACCCGCAGAAATGAGCGAAAAATGTCTTTCTAATAATCCAATAAGTAGGTTGAACCAAATACAATCTTTCTGAAAATTTAATCAAATCTTCAGCATGATTTACAAGCCATCTGATTGAACATAATTTACCAACCACAAGAGAACGAATCAATTCAGATAATGATTTGTTTCTAAGAAATGTATAATTCGCTAATAAAAATTTTTATAAAAAATGGAATAATTTATTTAATTTATTTAATAATTGTATCATCAATGAATATTGTAATATAATTCATACCTTCATCAAATGATGGAATGATACCAGGCGATACTCCTCTAGAAGATTCTGTAGATAATTCTGTTGACAGTTCTCTAGTTAATTCTTCTCTAGATGATTCTAATTCTCTAGGTACTCCTTTAGATAATATGAGAAATTCTTTGGGTTCTTCTAGTAAACGATAATGAATAAAAGAAGAATTTGAAAAAAAACTTGATTTAGGTCGTGGACTTTTGATATCAATTTTTGTAACAGAGTTAATAGTGACAAATGAAGTTTTTCTTCTCATGTTAAAATAAACATTCTTAAAACTATTTTTTAACAAAGCTCGACCAAACATTTTTTTTTTCCCTTAATTTTTCTTTTTTTAATTTTTCTTATATTTTTTCTTTAAATTAATGGGAAGAGCCGTTTTCTTTTCAGTTACTAACTCTTTTTCATTTTGATAATAAAAATAAAGTTTTACCAAACATCACTTTCCTTTAATTTTCTTTTATATTACACTTGAAATAGCAATAAGTCATAAGTCGATCAAAAGAGGATCAAAAAAAAAAAAACAATATGTGTTCCTAAAAATAAACATGTGACAAATCCTTGTTTTCTTATTTATAAATATATTTAGTACATATTACAGTATTATGAGAACCCTTAATCTGTACCCCAGGTGTAGATCCTTTCGGCAGGTGATCAGAGATCCATTAGTCTATACCCCAGGAATTACGACATTTGACGCAATCCAAATAACTAAAATCGGGATGTTACACTAATCATACATATTTAATAATTATATTAATCTTTGATTTTTTTCCCGAAATTCTAATATCATATTTTCAATATTAATATTATTGCAAGTTATTACTCGCAAATTTTAATAACTATAACCTTAAATGAAAATTGTTTATTTTGATAAATCATCATTGCAATATTATATACATATATATATTCATTTCAAATAACATATACATTTCTATCTGTCTATCTATTCATATATATCTTCACTGAGATCAGTATAGGTATTAAAATATTCAATTATTCAATTCCTTCATTAAGTCATTGAGAATGAAATCAATTACTAAACTTTGTGACTTGAATGTAAAATTACAAGCATTTAGAACAAACAAATGATTGGTGAATAATTGGATAATATATTTAGTATATTTTATAAAATTATTAGCTCTATAGTGCAGAATCTCTATAACCAACCTCACCTCAATAGTAACAATTAGTTACCTTTAAAAAAAAATGTCACACTTTCCTAAATGGAAATTTTAACTTTTTAACCAATAATTTTGATAGATCAGATCAAGAGCTATCGGATTTATCAGTTTTAATTAAAATATTTTTAATATTGAGTGTGTTATATGATTTGAAAATCAGTTATTTTAATATAATAAAAAAAATCAGACTAATTGATTTTCATGTGACATTAAAAAAAAGATTACCATTTTGTAGCAATATAATAACCTAATTATTTTAGCTTAAGAACATATACACCTTTTATTATAAAATTTTTATTTAATTTCAAAAAAATTATTTAAAAATTTTATAATTTATTATCAATTTTATATAAAAAATTAGTTGCTAAAAATAGATTAAAGAATCAATTACATAATAAAAGCACTGGTTAGTTTTTTCTACAATATTCAAATAGTAATGATGATGAATATGAAATTAATAGTAATTATTCACCAGACAGTTCAAATGAAGATTATAATCAAAAAAATATTAAAATTAGATGAAATAACTTTAAATATGACAGGTTTGTTTTTGTTTTTTAATTTTTAATTAAAAATCATATAAAAATATATAAAATAAATAAAAATTTATTCTATTTTTTAGAATATTATGAAACAAAAAAAACATCTTACATTGGTAAATCTACTATAACATATTATTGAAAATATAATTCATCAGGTGTTTATATAAAAGTAGCAAAAAGTTCTTTATCAATTAATAAATATTTTACACAAACAGAATCAGATGTTATAATTAATATAGAAATTAATAATAATATTTTAATACAAGAAAATTTAGAAGAAGAATTTGTAAAAAGTATATAAGATAAAAATAATAAATCAGTATCAAAAGCATTAGAAAAAAATTCAAGTGAATTTACAAACAATATTCAAGATGAAATGAATATTGAAAATGACAATAATAATAATTTTTCAGAAAGAATAAATGTATTAAAATAATTCTTAAACAAAATAAAAAAAATTTCAATATATGATTTTTTTAAGAATCAATTAGTTTATGAATTTTTTATTAATAAAAAAGAAAAAAATATAAATAGTAAAGATGTTTCATTTAATTTAACAAAAAAAAATTTTGACAAAAGATTATATTGTGTAAAAGCAATTCATAAATAGTCAAAAAATTGACTTGAAAATAGTGTATTACCAATATTATCACAAGATTGCTATCAAAAAACCAAGTCATTAATAGATGATGAAGATATAATTAAAAAGAGTTTGGAATTTATTTATAATAATGAAAGAAAAATTTTATCAAAATCATATAGAGCTTTTATTAACAAAACTCTTTTTTTACAATTGGAAATAATTAAATCAATTTTAGAAAAAACAGATAGAATATGGTTACAAAAACTTGGATTAATTTTACAATTATGAAAAAAAAAAATTTATTTTGATGAGCATAAATGTTCAGATGTAGCAGAATATAAAATTTTTTTTTAAAAAAGATGAAAGAGTATGAAAAATTAATACCAATATTTGAGGGTAACAATATAAATCAAAAAGATTCAATTTTATTAGACAATCAAAAACTTTACATTTTGATAACTTATGATAAATATCTTTTTTATATCAATGATGACTGTTCAATAATTTGGATATCATACCTCTTTGTAAAAAAGGACAAGGAAAATTAATAATGGTTAGTGAATTTTTAACTAAAACAATTGATTGTTTAAAATTAACAAATGAACAAGTTGAATATTCTGATATTTTAAGAAATATACAAAAATTTTTATGTTCAGATAAAAATAAAGAAAGATAGTAGACTGCAAAACATTTAGTTGAACAAGTAAAAGATTTTGCTATATCAATTTTTGAAAAAGTTCATCTAAATACAATTGCTATTTTTGTATTTGATAACAGTACAAATCATTCTTATAAAAACTACAATATTAAAATATACTTAAAATATATTTAAAATATATTCAAAATATATTTTATTAAGTATTTTTTAAGTATATAAAAAACTATTTAAAATA